TGTCGCGGCTCGCTTCGACGTGTCATTAAAATTCAGCCGGCCGGTAGGCTCGCCAATCTATATACGCCACACAGAGGTGTTTGGACAGTACACTGCCTGGGTACAAGGCTGCATGCGGATAGAGTAGCTATAGGGTCACTCTAAACTTTGTGCTGTGATATTGTCAGCAAAAAGTGATTTAGAGTAGATTGGGACCTCAGCACAATATGATGAGGGATCTCTCTACTCAGTGTTTGTTTGCGTAACAATCTGTAAGAATGAAGGGTTCCCTGGTAAGGGCTACGTTATAGTAATACTCTACTGCACGCTGTGAAAATTATCACAGTAACACTAAAGGCATTGTTAGCCATGGAGTAGATTGGGACCCCAGTACAGTGGATCTTCACTCTATTCTTTAGTATAGAGTATGCGTAGAAAATGAAGGGCTGGCTGGTAAGGGTCATCTTATAGCTGCAAAACACTGTGTGAAAATTGTCACAGTGACACAGAAATGTAAGGGTGGTAGACTGGCCGGACGCAATCGCGGGCCCGCGTGGGGTTGATTATTATAGCCATTGCGGGGGCAGTCGCGCTCGGCCGCGGATCCACTGTCTACTGTGGAAAAATGAAGTGCATCGTGCTGACTCTTTCTCTTCTTGTGGCTGGAGGGTGTCTTCTGCGGACAGCTAACGGCCGTATGTTTAGAGCTTTCACGTAGTCACGGGCACGAAGAGCATCTAAGAGTTTTGCCCTTCCTACACAGAGTGCCATATTACCATCATTGGACACGAAGACTGCTACATAGCTGGATTCCAGCAAGACGTGACCTGCGTTTTCAGTTGCCAGAACGTGGCCAGCATCCAGTGGTCCTGATTTTTGGAGAGTACATGCTACCTATAGGGAGTCCCAGTACTGACACTGAAGCAGTGCTGTCCGTGAATCTCCAGATACGTAATAACGGGACACAGTACAAATGTGTAGTCAGAGATACATCTAACGTTGGGTATATGGAGACAATCACCGTTTATGTCAGAGGTAAATGTGCATAACATTAGCTAGCATCATCATTAAATCTCTCCTGATTCGTGAGGATCGGTCACTGATCATTTTCGATTCACTTCAACTCTCCCCCTTCTTATCATCCCCCTAAGACTTGGAATGTGTGCTAGAGTAATGGGTGGAAATACTACACAGTATCACTGAGTCTACAACTCTTTGTGTGCAACTGTTTGTACAGACAGAGTGTCTCAAAAAGAGTTTTGATAATGCGCCAAGAAATGGGTAACCACAGTTTCACTAGTGTTCTGTAACCCATGCCTAGGTACTGTCGTATGTGTCTCCCCCAACTGAGCCCCTTCTTTTTCTCTCTGTCATCACTCAGAGCTGGAACACTCACTCAGCATCAGTGCCTCGCAGAAGAATCCGGTGGTAGCTGGTACTCCGCTGACCCTCACCTGTACAGCAGTGAGCAGTAGACCCGCTCAGCTCAACTGGATCAACTCAGATGGGGCCACAGTCACCTCCACTTCTTTCATCACCGTGTCTCAACAAGTTGTTGTTGGATTGACTACCACGTCCACCTTCACATTTGACCCTCTCAAGACGTCACATGCAGACACCTATACCTGCTCCTGTGTCATTGATTATCCCAGCTCAGTTGCCACAACCACTCACCAAGTCATCGTCCAGAGTAAAGTGTTACACACAGAAAAGACCCTGTGTAGTTTGTACAGTCCCAGCTTTTTATATGGACTCAGAACCTAGCATATTACAAAGCTACCGGGGATGGATTTTGTAGGGCAGAGGGCTAAAGCCACACCATTATAGTGCATAGGGTGGGCAAGCTACAGTAAAATCATGCTGATGTAGCTACCCCATGCTCTTCTTAACACAGTGTTCAGCTCATGCAACAGTTAGTGCTGGGGAAAAATGCTGGCAAATGAGTAATAGTTCAACTTTTTAAAGGGGGAAGAATGGTGTCACTGTCTATGAGCACACAGTAGAATTGACGACAAGAAAATTGCCCTATTTAGAGAAGTGTCTCGCTCATTAAGAATAGCTGATGCATGTGCATGTGTGTGTGTAGCTTGTAACAAAGTTATACTCTTTCAGCAAGATGGAGTATAGGAACAATGAGCTGGACGAAAAAACTAATAAGGGCTACTATAGTAACTGCAGCTAGCTACAATTCCCACGGAGCATGTGCTCAGAGCAAAACAAAGTAAAGTGTTAGCACACATTCTTTATACAGGTTCTTTTGCAACCTGCCCGTTATCCACACTGTATTATGATTTCCTCTCCTACAGTCCCGCCACCAATTGTGGGCATTGTGAGCGACCCTCCTCCCTCACAGGGAGTGTCGACTGGTGACACTCTCACCATAACATGCACTGCAGTCGTCTCAAACTGTGTTGACACACCGACCACAGTCGATACACGATGGACTGACAGAAACTCTCTCCGCGATGCTCCCCGTGTGACTGTCACCCAAGTATCTACCACACCACCATATGAGGTCTCTGTCTCCATATCTTCCCTCATATCCAGCGACACCGGAACCTATGAGTGCTGTGCTCAGATCCATTCTGTGGGAACTCCGTTGGTTAATGACAGTGACCTGGTTCATAACTCCATCGATATATCTGCCTGTAAGCCGATCTCCTCTGCCATTATGTTTGAAGTGTGTTAATAGAGAAGCCTAATCCCACCCAGGGCAGCTCTTTTTTTCCTTGGAGAAAAAGAGTTGTCCTGAGTGTCGTCGTGATGTTTGGTTTGCCTTTACCTTGAGACCTTGTTGTTGACACATTATACAGTGCATGCATTAGCATTTACCATTGGTGTGTGCTTACACAGCTCTCAGTGTGGAGGTCCTGGTTGATTACGAGGTCCCCTGTGATTATGAGTATCCTAGTCCACCATACTATCGTCCGTGCACCCCAATCTCTCTGCGGTGTGAGGCACGAGGGGCATCGGGAAGAGTCAACTACCGCTGGAGCTCTACAAACAGTGCTAGTTTCGTGAGTGGTGGGACAAACATGACTGTTTCTACCGACATGCTCACTTACCTGGACGGCGGCTTACACACCTGCTGTGCACATGATGCACAAGGAAACCGTGGTTGTGACAGAGTGGAGATGGTTGTTAAAGGTGTGTGTTGAAGCATTATAGTACAAACTTATTGTCATTCATGACAAAGAGATTTTATAGACTTATCCTCACAAGCTTAAGAGCTCTGTTAATCACAGAACGTTGCTATGGGGTTGCACAAGAAGTATCTGAGGCAGGGGTTTCTTGTTTATGTAGCTACCACATTCCTGTGTTAAAAATGGAATGTGGCAGCTATTTTTAGGAAAAAACATTATTCACTGGGCCCTATATATACCATCTCTGGCTACAGTTAATACCACAACATAATGCAGGGATGGGACTGTACATTGATGACAGCGAGTACATCTCTGGAGCTGCAGTTGCAAATAACTCGATTGTGGTTCCCAGATCCTCATCTTGTACCAACTGCAAACTCGACATCTACTGTTGCACAGACAGAGCAGGGCTCCAAATGGAGTTTGTGTTCCCCGACGGCATCAAGAAGACAACGACCAATGACTACTACAACATGGAAGTGGAGCGGCTGACTAGCACGGCTAAAATTCGAGCCTTCAACCACCTCTCCTACTACCCACAGCTCTATGGGCTCTATTGCTGCAACGTAGGATCTCCGGCTCTGACCAGCAGTGTAGCTGTTTACTCCTCCCTACCAGGCAATTCTCCCCCTTCTCTCTCTTTCACACACACACACACACGTGCGCACACACATGCACACACCCACCATAATAGAATAAATTTACCCCTTTCTCTTTGTGTGGTTCAGTTCACTCTAGAGCTAATTCAAATTTGCTTATGGTAAGCACGACTGTTACGAAAGTTTCCTGAATCATAGCGACTGCTATGTAACGGCATTATCCCAACCCTGCAGGGCCACCAAGGGTATATTCCAGTGGTTTTGAGATCAACGAAGACCCAGATTCTGACTGCATCATCAGTATCATTTGCAGCACGTCGGACTCGCCACCATCCAAAGTGAAGTGGTGTAGAAACGGGGTACCGATCACCATTGATGGCACCGACTACGAGGCAGAGCAACAAGTGACTGACCGACGAAACTTGTACTACGACAATGTCCTCCACGTGAAGAACTCTGAGTTTGCGGCAGGCAGACATCAGTTCGAGTGCAAGATTAACAATTCGCGAGGCAGCCATGCTCACACCGTTGAAACCAATGTTCCTGGTACGTAAGTCATGTGTTAGCTGTGCAGTGTACGGCGAGACTCCAATAATAGAATACTCTTTTCCCCCTAATTTATGCAGTGTACGGTCAGACTCTAATAATAGAATACTTTTTCCCCCTAATTTATGCAGTGTACGGCGAGACTCTAATAATAGAATACTCTTTTCCCCCTAATTTATGCAGTGTACGGCGAGACTCTAATAATAGAATACTCTTTTCCCCCCTAATTTATGCAGTGTACGGTCAGACTCTAATAATAGAATACTCTTTTCCCCCTAATTTATGCAGTGTACGGCGAGACTCTGATAATAGAATACTCTTTTCCCCCTAATTTATGCAGTGTACGGCGAGACTCTAATAATAGAATACTTATTTCCCCCTATTTTATGCAGTGTACAACGAGACTGTAATAACATCTGAAGGGTCTGAGTTTTCAGGGGAGCGTCATGTCCTTACCTGTACCGCAACACTCCACGAAAAACTCAAGAACCTCCTTCGGTTTGTGAGGATAGAGTGGGTGGGGCCATCTGGCCTCTCCATGACAAAAGAAAACATGATTGAAGTCGGTGGAGTGACGTACAGCGAGTGTGGCGTGTCACGAACTCTCACCTTTGACCCCCTGAAAACCACCCACTCGGGGCTCTATCGCTGCATCCTTTCCATCACCAAGGAAGAGCTCACTCCTTTCTTTCAGAGAGAGATTCGTCACGACCTTTTCGTCATCAGTGAGTGAAAGTCTCTGTAACATGTTGTCATGTGCTGAACTCTATTCTCCTTGGTGGTGTGTTGCAGCTATTGGCCTATTCCAGCTACAGTTTGGTCCTGTGTCAGACAGCAGCACTTGTGCTGGAGACCCGGTTAGAGTGTATCGACATCACAATGAAACCCGACCTAGCAGTAGACTAATCCATAACAAGTCTTATCCATACACTACGATTTCAGTAAATAATGATGTAGCTAGATTCCCTGTAAGATCTACTACTTGTATATACAGATTTCAATGTAGATGTATATAATGTACAAAGTGTGATATACTTCTGTGATACCGTAGCTGTGATAAATACTCTGTACCTTATATACCTGTGATAAAGACTTTACCTTAGCTGTGATGAATCTCTTCTTTCCTCCTCAATGCTGACAGAATCTATTTGCTGCTCTGGAGTCGAACCTCAAGACCACCCTGACGAATGCAATCAATGAACGCTGCCACTGTGATTTCGAGGAGAAATCCATTGACCTCGGGGAGATTAGCTATCACTACACAATCGGAAGATCTGCTGTATACAGGTATTACACATACTCCAACTACAGTGGTAAATAAAACTGATGAGAAGCAGCTGCAAAACAACATGGTGCTCACTCACTTCCTTTTCTTCATTATGCATGCATCAAGAGCACATGATAGGAGAGTGTGTTTACTTAGCTACTTCCAGTTGTGGAAATTTATCTATGGCAGCTGTTTCACATGAGTAGTGGCAGGATATTCCTACCAGTCTCCAAGTTACACGGTCTTTTCTCGTCTGTATTCTGTAATTGCGCACTCTTGATACAATGCAGGGCTCGACTGACGGCCACAGTGTACACGGCTGAGCAGCTGCTGGCCATGGTCCAGGACTGGGCCACCTCTGATGGGACGTTCCTCTTCAACTACCACGGCAGGATAAGGCTGAGGGTCAACCCTCTCTGCCAACCTCTCGCCATAGACTCTTTCACTGAGCCCGAGTGTGGACAGAGTGTTGCAGATGTAAACAGCAAAATATTCCCACCTTTTTAGGTGTGGTCTAAAGTGACAAGCTACTATATAGTCTGACAGTGCACATAATTATGTTATAGACACACTATTTTGGTTGTTTCTCTCTTGCATTCCCCTTGACTGTATGCTTGGTAATAAAAATCTATATATATGCTGCATGGGATCTCAAAACAGTAGCCGGTGGCTTGAGCACGGAACTGCAGCGAAACCAACAACCAACTTTTTTTACGCGCGGCTGTGCACGTGATCAGTTCGCGCTCGCATGCGCGTAAGCCACATCGTACTTGCGCGTCTCACTCTAGACTACTACCGAATCTTTAACAATAAATTGTAGACCATAGGCACTGCCAGAGATGAGGTTTTGCCCCATGTGTCACCTGCGAACCCTATTCAATAGGATCGGACAGTTTTTCTGGAAGCTTGCGATGGTGCGCCCGCGCCGGCGCGACGTTCATGCGAAAGTCTCCCTGAAAGACTGTCCGATTAAAAAATACACATGGTGGGTACACAAACGGAACAAATGGTAAAGGAAAAATTTGTGTACCCTGAATTGAGATGTAGGTAGGTGAATCACGCATGCGCATATAGTCGGCGCGATTGTGTCCGCGCACCCTATAGTGTTTATGCAGTATTGCGTCTGGCCTGGCCGCTTTCGAGAGATTCAAGATAAGATTGAGGCCCTAAGATGATGAATTCACTTTCTGTCATATTGTCTAAGAACAAAGAACGCGCGCCGCGAAGAGGAGCCGAAACGCGCGCGCAACAGCACATGTAGAAAAGTACTGCAGGCTATTGTTGCAAACAGTCTCAGCTAATCTCCTTGTGGAGCTAAGATGCGTTTTTCTTACAAAAGTGCACACTTTGCTCTTGTTTTATACGTCCTCATCACTACTTGCTCAGGTAATTTTTCGGCGCACGATTTAGCTACCTGCGCGCATGCGATGCCGTGCGTTGGTTTAGCTACCTACGTAATACCCATTAGGCCAAGTAATCATCAGAGGAAATGAGGAACCGCTTACGATCGGTCTGTCCCGGGACCTCAACTGCATGTGGAGCGGAGGAGGCAACGTTTCAACGATTGAATGGTTCGTTGTTGGTCTGGAGGCCATGGCCATCGAGACGGCGACTGAGACGACATCAGTCGTCCTCACCCTCACTCCTGACGATGACGGACTGGATGGAGCGATGCTCTTGTGCAAAGTAACTCTGTCCAGCGGTCAAGAAGCAGAGGAAACTATTACTCTCAGTGTTCAAGGTGCAACTTTTCTCCGTGGCGTTGTGTTGAACTAATGTTTCATTGGTGCATGCTTGTTCTTCCAGCAATTCAAAATGAAGTTTCTATTTCCTCAATGATGAATGCAACAGCCGGCCAGCCCTACATTCTGGTGTGTACAGTCCTATCAAAGAGTGTATCCAACTTGAGCTGGATCGATCCGAATGGAGTTGCATGTCCTCAGGATGACCCACACATGACGGTCTCCTACATTGGCTGTGAGTGAGGGATTGAGTACCTCGAACTGACATTCGACTCCATTAGAACATCTCAGTGGTGTTTACAAATGCATTTCTAATATTGTTTTTCCTTCATCAAAGAGTGAGGATTCCTTTCTGGTTCATATCCAAAGTAAGTTTATAAAATTGCTCTGCTCTCATTTACTTTTCTGTCCTATCGTTTGCAGTACCTGAGCCGACAGTGATGATACTGAGAGCTCCGGAACACCCTGTGCAGCTGTTTACCAATGACTCTCTGGTGGCTGACATGTGTAATAGAACTCATTCCAGACGTGGATCTACGTGGCAATTAACTCTCAATGGAGGGGTCACTCGTCCCTCACTGATAGCGAGAGACGGGTCATAGTGTCCGATTTAGAGGGAGTTCAACTCTTTTACAACACCTCTGTGACATTTAGTGCATTAAAATCCAGTGACAGTGGTTCCTACACTTGCTCAGCTACTGTTAGCCCCATCGAACCAGACAGCCATCTGATGCAGAGCCATCTCGTTGAAGAGACTATTACAATTCAGTTTGGTATGTTGTGTTGTTTTCGTACTATCCCATTTACCAATGTCACCCGCCTCTATAGTTTTAAGTGTGACTGTACAGGTGACCTACAGCCCTCCATCTGCTTTCATTCTGCCTAGTCCACCCTACTATCATCCAACCTCTTCTGTGACATTAACATGTCGTGCTCACCATGCCACTGGTTCTGTGACCTACCGATGGTCCTCTACTTGCAGTAGCTGCTTTGCAAGTAGTGGTACATCTCAAGCAATCAGTGATTCAATGCTGCAATCAAATGATGCTGGAGTTCATACATGTACAGTTACTGACAGCAATGGCAATACTGGAAGTAACAGTACAGAAATGAGACTAATCGGTAAACATCAGTGTCATTACTTCATTACATAAAGTGTTTATTATCTGAATAGGTTCTGGAATATATGTCCAAACAAGTCGGAATCTAACACTGCTGCGTTAAAAACAATAGCCTTGTAATAGTGAGACCGGACCACTCATGCTATTACTGTCCAAGATACTGTGGTGGATTTGTACTGCCACTCTAACGCAACATCACAACAGTTGGTTACTTCAGATACCCCAATGGAAATAGATATTCTACCTCCTCGGGACTATTTCTTATTACCACAGAACAACGTAGTTACTCGGGCATTCGTCTGTATGGGTACTTCTTCACACTATTATGGCTCTGTAAGTATGGGGTATATTTACTTGTGAACTGACTAATGCTGAAGGAAATAGAGTTGAACAGAGCATAGGGATTTACTCTTCAATGCCAAGTAAGTTGTACTCTTAAGTTTAAAACTGTATCAATGATGACAATTCTTCAGGTGCACCATCGGTATATAGAATGAAGTATAATGATTGGAGTAGTGCTTCTACTACTTTTCTTGCTAGTGTAGAATGTCTCACTCAAAATTCTCCACCAACTACTGTGACTTGGCTAAGAGATGGGGTAACAGTGCAAGTAGATGGAACAGCGTATGAGATGATACAAACCGTGATTGAGCGCCAATCATATTCAAGATATAACAATACTTTAGGCATTAAAGATGTTTTTGAATTAGCTGGAGATCACAATTACTGTTGCAGAGTCTCAAACTCAGCTGGCACCAGCAGCTCTCAATGCATTGCTACAACATGGAGTGGTTAGTTACTCCTTTGTTCAATTTATAATACTATTCACCTTCTGTGACTGTATATAGCTCAGCCTGATGTTATGGTTACCATGCCAGAGAAGCTATCTACTCTAAACCGTTCCAAGCAACTTGCAGAGCAAGTTTTCACCCGAGCGTGGCCCCTTACCTGACCCAGTACCTGACTGTTGAATGGATGGGAGCTGAGGGGGAGTACCTTACTTCAGGAGGTGCTGTTACCATCGAAAAACAACAGACCTCTTCTACTGCTGCCACTAAAGATTTGGTCTTTAACCCTCTGAATATGACTCATGGAGGAAACTATGTTTGTGAAGCTAAAGTGGTGCTACCTGACTCTGCTGGATCCTTCAACACCACGCATCAGTATCATCTTAATGTCATCAGTGAGGTCGTGAGAGTTTTTCGAACGCTAAATTTGTTGATTTTTTCACAGACAGAACTCTTATTCAACTTAAGTTTGGCCCGGTTATTCACTGTTCAAAGTGGTATGAAGACAGGGTAAATGAATTGACTATAATAGATAACATAATGTTATTATCATTGTTACATGTCAGCACATATCGGTTATCTGGAGAAGAGTATCAAGCAGACTCTGACAAATCTCATTAACAAGAACTGCAGCTGTGACTTCCAAATTTTTCAGATTGATGAGGGAGAATTTAGCTGTCGCTCTGGCAAAGATGGCTATGTCACTTATAGGTGAGAGCTGGAATTAAAACTTGTTATGGAGCGCTTTTTGAATCCTCAGGGCAAGACTAACAGGGAGCAGTGATACACAGAGTACACCACCAGTGCTTGCAGTGATCAAGGACTGGATGGCCAATGACGGGACATTCCTGTACACCTATCATGGGAACATGAGACTGGGACTGGACCAAGACTGTCCTCTGGAGATTGCCTCCTTCTCCCAGCCAGAGTGCGTGAAAAGACAAATGGTGAAATATGAGCTGTAAGACATAGCAACATACGTTGTATTAGAGCAAGCCGCACGTGAGCCTTTGAAAGTTGGTTAACCTGGAATTTCTGTAAGCGTGTCTATTGGTGAGCAAACTCAGACGCATGCGCAGTATAATTTTGAAAGCCGCGCGATCGCGCAAAGACACGCACAGATTGCGCATGCGCATTAAAATAGCATATCGCGCGCTCCTATATTATATCCACCATTCCAAGCCAGGCGGCCTAAGAGAGAGATTCACCGAGGCCCTACGATAATAAATTCACCCTCCTTGCCTTATTGTTTCTGAACAAAACTTTGCGCGCAGAGACGCTCCCAGCATCGAAAAGTCTATCGTTGAAGGCAGTTGAGGCTTCGTAGAGATATGATGTCTTTCTTATACAAAAGTATGCGCTTCGTGCTTATTCTTTTTGCTTTGGCCCACTGTTGCTCAGTAATTTAATTTCGAGTGCATGGCCCACACGTGCGCTCGCTCATAGAGCAGGTAATCATCAAAGGAAATGAGGAACCGCTGACGATCGGCCTATCCCGGGACCTCAACTGCATGTGGAGCGGAGGAGGCAACGTTTCAACGATTGAATGGTTCGTTGTTGGTCTGGAGGCCATGGCCATCGAGACGGCGACTGAGACGACATCAGTCGTCCTCACCCTCACTCCGGACGATGACGGACTGGACGGAGCGATGCTCTTGTGCAAAGTAACTCTGTCCAGCGGTCAAGAGGCAGAGGAAGCTATTATACTCTCAGTGTTCAAGGTATGTAAATGAATCTTGGCGGACCGGGAGCGACCAAGCGTCGGTTAGACGCTCGACCTGTCGTCAAGAGCAACTCGCATTACGGCATGATCAGCATCGGTCGGATGTTACACAATTGACAATTGCTATGCCCGTTGTTTGCAAGGGTTGGTGCTCGCTCACGCGTTATGTATTCAGTGAAAATCTTTCTTTTAAGCAATTCAAAATGAAGTGGTGATTTCATCTTCCATGATTAATGCAACACCTGGGCAGTCCTACACTCTGGTCGGCACTGTTTTTTCAGCAAGAGCATCTAGACTGCATTGGGTCGACCCGAATGGAGGAGTTATTGACGATGGTTCAAACTTTAGTGGATGGAGCGATGAAATCATTCCCACAGAACTGGCACTGACCTACAGTGGATGGAGCAATGAAATAGCTCACTTGAAGTGACTTTTCACTTGATTATAACATCCCAGAGTGGTGTGTACAAGTGTGTCTCTAATATTGCATTCCCTTCTTCGAAGAGTGAGGATTTCTTTCTGGTTCAAATCGAAAGGAAGCCAATAGTATTTTGTGCGTCATTCATGTGTTTTTATGTATACCACAGTTCCAGCACCATTTGTGTCCATACTAAGAGATCAAGAGCCTCCCATTCAACTCTCTAGCAGTCACTCTCTGGTCCTGACCTGAGTCATACAGATCATACCTGAAGTCGATTTCTACATCACCGTAGATTCTCGCTGGAATGGACACTCCTCACTCACCAACAGAGAGAGAAGGGTTATCGTTTCCGACTTGAGGGGTGTCCAGTTAATGTACAATACGTCTGTGACCATTAGTGAAGAAATTCAGTGATGGTGGCTTTATGTGTGCTCTGCTTCCAGTAGTCCCTGCAGGAACTCCATTCTGTTCGTAGAATGACGTCTGAGACAAGAGATTCTAACGAGTCACGTTTTATCACATGTAATGAGAACTGAGCTACCAGTTTGTGGAGTGTGACTGCTTTGAGCAAGCTATTTGGCAGCTATAAACATCGCTGAAGCTACAGCAACCGGTTCTTCACCGAGGTGATTTTGAAAAAATAATGTGAGCATGAATAAATAATGAGCAGTGTGTGAGGATAGATAATAGGCAAATGAGGAGTGATAAATAAGTGTGAGAATAAATGATGAGCGCTATTCATAGTGGTAGAATATAATGAGTAATGATTGAGAATAAAAATTAATTCCCTATATCTTTCTTTGTTGTTTATAAGCAAATATCGAACAAAGATATAGGGATGGTGTCATGTAGCTTTGCTGTGTAATGACCCCTTGTTTCTTCCCCTTTGGTGCTTCAAGCCATCCCTATATCCCCCTTTCATTTTGAAGAAATGATTTTTCCACTTGTATAGATAGATAGATAGATAGATAGATAGAGAAATAAATAAATAAAAACCACCACCAATATATCCACAAATCCCAAAACATCCATAAAAAAACACATACACAAATACACATGACATGACATGAGAGCAGGACACTAGGTGCCCAGCCTGCGCATGTATCTGTAGGATGTCGCATGTCAAATCTCATGTGATTCGCCTTAAAAATACCTAATGCCTCAATGCTGCCCATATTCATGTCTCTCACCAGTCCTGGGGTCTTTATAGTGTGGGTAGCTACCATACTTTCACTGTTTCCTTTGAGTGTAGGCGTTGGCTACTTTCAAGTCTCTACAGAGTACCGACTGCTGTGTGGTAGTAGTGTAGTGGGAAATCTTCAAAACCAGTCAACATCTGTTACTCGATGTTTGTGAGTAGCTAGCCTAGCCAGGGGCATGTGCGGTCTTACAGGGGAAGCACTGTTGCTCGTAGCTAATCATGTTATGATTATACACTGCAGCTATGCGCGCATGCGCTAACGTACGCAGATAATAATACGCGAAGGGGAGACTGCGGGGCAGTCTCTGGCGAAATGTTGGTTGCAGCCAAGCGTGCCGTTCGTGGATCGGCTTTTCTTTTGCTCGTCGAGTTTCTTGGTAAGTAAAATAGCAACCGTTTCTTAAGAGCAAAAAGCCGTGATGAAGCATCTAGCTTTAGTTGCAGCGGAGCCGTGTTCCACTGACGGACAAGTGAGACTGGCGGACGGCCTGACCGCAAACGAGGGCAGGGTTGAAATCTGCCTTGATGGAGAGTGGGGTACAATCTGCGATCATCACTGGGGCTCGTCCGAAGCCCGCATCGTTTGCCAGCAGCTAGGATTACCCGCGGAACGTAAGTAGCTAAAACCCTCAGTAAAGCATTAATAATCGTGTTCCTTAGATGCCGATGCCATTTACCGATATGGTGGCGTCTCGGGTCTTATACACTACGCTGGATTTAGGTGCGATGGTACGGAGACGCAGCTTTCGCTCTGCCCGGCTGATCAAAGAAACTCGAGTACCACACAAATCACAAACTGCCAACACCTAGAAGATGCAGGAGTGCGATGCACTAATGGTACGCCAAGAGTCTTGCCCCCAAGAAGTGTGATATGACCTATTAATTTCCTTGACAGTTCCCTGTGCTGAGAATGATGTTAGACTGAATGAGGAGATAGTGCAGGTGTGTCATGATCAGCAGTGGGGCCTAATGTGTGCCCCGAGGGGTAGCTGGGATCAAAATGCCGTGCAAGTGATGTGCACTCAAGCTGGAAGGCCATCCACATGTTAGCACAGTTACTTATAGTTAGAATGAGAAAAGAGTTGTTGTTTTTGCCCAGTCCCACGCAGCCCAAGCCGTAGAGCGCTATTCTATGATGCTCCTGTCATACTGAATGACATAACATGCAACGGCACGGAAGCTAGCATTGTCGAGTGTGCCCAAGCTGATTATGGCTCCTTCACTGACTGTGCTAATATTGCTGTAGCTCATTGTGAAGGTAAACTATATACAGTAACATTACTGTCATATGACTATGGTAGGATTGCAATTTTCAAACAGCGCAAGAGTCCTGCAGTGAACCAAACGCCATACGGTTGACAAGGTTTTCAAGTGACACGATGGGTCGCCTGGAAGTGTGTGCTAACGGCATGTGGGGAACTGTCTGTGGCAATGCAGCAACCATTGCTTTGGTGAGGGTAGCATGCAGACAGCTGAACCATGCCCCAGGAGGTAATGTACTGCTCTGATTCACTGAGAAGCACTTTTAACCTCGCGGTTCTCTCAGGGTCACTTTTCAGAGAGAGTGATTTTGCATTTCTACTTGATGGACTTGTTCCAATACGACGAACAAATGTGGTGTGTGCTGGCAATGAGGACTCCCTGTCAGAGTGCTCCTTCAATGGAGCCGATGGAGACCCAACCTGCACTCATAGAGATGATGTCATCATTATGTGTGCAAGTATGTTTTCCTTTACCATAATTGGTGAACGAAGTCAACCTACCTAGCAGTTCAAATGGCATATTATTTTTACAATGGTACTATACAGCAAGTCGACTAAGCCGAAGTTTCACACTCACATCCACTTCACATTTCATGACATCCCCCTCTATTTCGCAGCTCAGAGTGGGTGTAATGAGGGAGATGTTCGGCTGGTAGACGGCCAAACACCAACTGACGGACGAGTGGAAGTATGTCTTGAAGGGTTTTGGGGCCCAGTGTGTGACGACAGGTGGGACTCCAGAGATGCTCAAGTCGTGTGTCGGCAATTGAATTTCAATGGACGTAAGTTTCTCTTGAGTGGTACATGTAAGTGCACTGAATATTACTGGGCCTTTAAAAAACCTTTGTCATAGCATCGTATCCACTGCTGAGTTTTGGAGCCGGCCAATCGTCCACTATTCACCTGGATGATGTTCACTGTAATGGATCTGAGGAGAGAATCACTGAGTGTAGCCACAGTGGAATAGGGATCCACAATTGCCGTGCGGGCACTGAAGAAGCTGGAGTCATATGCACAAGTATGTGCCATCAAGGGGAGGGGGGCAGCAACTGACCAATAGTCACACATTCACTCCTAAAAGATAGAACCTGCTTAGCACACGATAATATTGCCCCTGTGCTCACAAGAGAGAGCAATTTATGTATGAATAATGTGAGTTCATCTTAGATCGGAGTGTTCATCTCGCCCCTCTAACTTTCATTCGTTCTTTTAGTGCATATTGTGCATGAGTGAAATGTGTAACGTCCCTGCGCTCCCAACGACAGTTCCAATTGCTCGGGGAGACAGCGCCTGACGTGTGGGCAAGTCTCATGAGAGTTATCACCTCGACTTATGAGGCTGTTCATACTTCTTACTCTCATTCTCTGTCTCCATACATTATGTGCACGGGTTAAATAGGATACGGTTAAGAAAACCACAATTACCGAATACAATGGAGGGAACTCCCCTATTTCACTAAAACTGTAGCTTGTATGTCGATGCATCTCCATCATGACTGTGCAACCTTGTCTATAGACACAACATGTGAGGATGGGACAGTCCACCTGGTGGGAGGAGACGACGTGTCAAGAGGGAGAGTTGAGTACTGCTATCAGGGAGCCTGGTACTCTGTGTGTGCCAGTGACTGGGATGACAGTGGGTTGGAGGCACAAGTCATCTGCGGAAGTCTGGGCTATCGATTTGGTAGGGCTACATGTCACAGTACTGTTACTAAAGATAGAGCTAACATTTGGGCTTATGCACTACCACATTAACTTACTATTTACTAATCTCTTCAGAATCTACTGTAGTGAACTACGGACGAGGGAATAGTCCAATTCTACCATTCAGTATCAGTTGCAGTATAGGTGACAGTGAGCTTGATGACTGTGCTAAGACTGCACTTGATACCAGCCAGTGTCCACATGTGGCAGGAGTCGATTGTGAAGGTTAGCTCACTTCATATCCTGGCTCACCTGGATGAATTCCCCCTACTACGGCCCAGTACACTGACTGATATGTGTGTGGGTGTGTGTGTTATATACTCTAAACATTATTTTGCATTCTGAAATAATGTGAATAGAAATAATGGGAATAGCTACATTCTGCAATCTGCATTTTGCAAGGGTGTAGAAAAGTGGCTTTTTAGAGTTGTTAACTATGCACCAGTTGTACAGTACAATGCAAACCTGAGTATTCATTGTAATGCAGATGGCCAAAGCTTATATTTCTCACAATTACAGTGGAGTAGAGTTTGATTAGGCCTTGTTTTTCCTCTAGCGTTGGCAATAGTGAGAACTATGCACCAGTTGTACAGTACAATGCAAACCTGAGTATTCATTGTAATGCAGATGGCCAAAGCTTATATTTCTCACAATTACAGTGGAGTAGAGTTTGATTTGGCCTTGTTTTTCCTCTAGCGTTGGCAATAGTGAGAACTATATATGTACAGTACCTATATCAACTAGAGTAGCTCATCAAAGATCGGACACCATGTGTATTCGGACAGGCCTCCAGAGCGTACGATAGAATATCATTCAGTTATTCTATATCTAAGATGTATTGTTGCAAACCTGAGTATTCATTGTAATACAGATGGCCAAAGCTTATATTTTTCACAATTACAGTGGAGTAGAATTTGATTTGGCCTTGTTTTTCCTCTAGCGTTGGCAATAGTGAGAACTATATATGTACAGTATCTATATCAACTAGAGTAGCTCATCAAAGATCGGACACCATGTGTATTCGGACAGGCCTCCAGAGCGTACGATAGAGTTATTCTATATCTAAGATGTATTCTTGCAAATGACAGTCCTTCGTACCAAGTTTGGATCATTGACGCGCTTTTGTTGCCGAGTTATGCCGTCGAAAAGGTCGACTGTCGATATTACGTAACATCGGACGTTTTCATCTACCGACGGACGCCCTGCAAATCCTTCATCGCGAAGCTTTCTGGAATATAACAACATCCAGTAAAAGCGGAGTTCAAGCCCTCCCACCTGCACTAAGGAGAGTAGCCTTCACTTACAGTATTTCCGCTTACTCCGCGTAGTTATTCTAGCCGCACACAAACTGACCCGCGTTTGGACTACCTCCGTGCTATGGGCGTAAGTGTTAACCCGTAGCCAGCCACGGGCACATACATATGCCCAGAGCGTCCATAAGTCTATAAGAATAATACTAGTAGGCGAATGCAGGGCATTTTTGGCGAGCGGGAGCGAGCACAACATGACTGTATCTACACGAGTCATACTAGCCTATTTACAACTTCAACCTTAGAACCACGAAGATTTGAAAGAGGTATATACAGCCTCATTCAAGAGCGCAGCGAATAGACGGGAGTTCTTTCGCTGGCTAGATTTCCCATCGATATGACAGCTAGGCAGCGTGTGAAAATAAGCGCGTTCCCCATCACGCAAGCGACGCTGATACAGACGAGCCTCGGGCACGACGTTCTCTTTCCCTCTCTCTTCGACGACGAAGGGCATCATCTTCTCTGGACTGATCCTTCACGATTGCGAGAGTACGCATGTATACGCACGAAGGCATGAAAATTTAGAAATCCTTTCGGATAAAAAGAAGCGCGTAATCCTGGAGCATGCGCAGTTAGACGACGTACGGTCGTAATCCGCGACGTTCGTACCACTAGGTTAGTTCGCCCAATAATCTGTCTACTAGTAGGTGAATGCACTGCATTTTTGGCGAGCGGGAGCGATCTAACGATTGTGCGCATGCGCAAAAATATTCCTGTGTAGTACTGTAGTCGACCCTCTCTCCTCGGCAGACTCGGCGGCAATTCGCCTTGTCTGATAGCTTCGGATCTGTTGGAGCCTTGCCTGTTGCGTTTCCTCTGATTCCGCAGCACGTGTAGCTCTTGCACGTACACGACTTCTCGCTAGTCGTGCTTCCCTTTCTTCCGCTGTTTCCGTGGCCAGGCGTTGCCTTGCCCGTTCCCTATCTCGCAGTCGGCGTCGAGAAAGACGAGCCTCTCTTTGCTCAGAAGTCTCACTGGCACGACGTTCTCTTTCCCTTTCTCGTCGACGACGAAGGGCATCTTCTCTAGACCGATCCATCGCAGAAAGTGTGGTTGGCTTCCTCTATACACGAGAAATAATTATACGGTGTAAAAATTTGAAATGTTTTTCGGATAAAAAGAAGCGCGTGGACGACAGTCGTATAATTATATATAGAAAATCGCGCCGTTCGTACCACTAGGTTAGCTCGCTCCCGCTCGCCAATAATACAGTACAGTGCGCTAATACTGTATTATAGCACTATATAAATTCTTATGGACTTATGGGCGCTCTGGGCATATATATTATGTGCCCGTGGCTGACTAAGGGTTAACACATGTCCTTCCCTGGCAGGGTGCGTGCTTGCTACAGGGTGCGTGCGTGACTTGGGAGTGCTTTACAAATACAATTTTCAGATACGGTCAGTGCCCATCTGAAATCGGATATCCCTTAGCCCTAAATTTTAGGGGGAAGCTTATGAACTTCAGAGTAGATGGCTGTCTGAATTTCTGACACTAGACTAGCTCATCAAGATCGACACCATGTGTATTCGGACAGGCTTCCAGAGCGTATGGTAGAATACCATTCAGTTATTCTATATCTAAGATGTAGTAGTGTCTGAAATTTCAGACAGCCATCTACTCTGAAGTTTCATAAGCTTCCCTCTAAAATTTAGGGCTAAGGGATATCCGATTTCAGATGGGCACTGACCGCATCTGAACATTTTTTAAAGCACTCCCAAGTCACGCACGCACCCTGTAGCACGCACCCTGTCAGGGACGGACATGTGTTAACCCTTAGCCAGCCACGAGCACATAATATATATGCCCAGAGCGCCCATAAGTCCATAAGAATTTATATAGGGCTATAACACAGTATTAGCGCACTGTATATACTGTATTATAGACAGATTATATTATTCTTATAGACTTATGGACGCTCTGGCATATTTATGTGCCCGTGGCTGGCTAAGGGTTAACACTTACGCCCATAGCACGGAAGGTAGTCCAAACGCGGGTCAGTTGATGCGTATATATGTGCGGCTAGACGTGTCCGATCTTAGATCGCCGAGGTTAGCTACGCCGAGTAAGCGAAAATACTATAGGTGAGGCTACTCTCCTTAGTGCATGTTTTGAGGGCTTCAACTCCGCTTTTACTGGATGTTGTTATATTCAGAAAGCTTCGTGATGAAGGGAGATTTGCCCAGGGCGTCTCCGCCGTAGATGAAAGCGTCCGATGTTACGTAATATCGACAGTCGAACCTTTCGACGGCATAATTCGGCAACAAAAGCGCGTCAATCCTCCAAACTTGGAACGAAGGATTATCATTTGCAACACTACATCCTAGATATAGAATAACTAAATGATATCTTATCGTACGCTCAGGAGGCCTGTCCGATTATACATGGTGTCCGACCTTACTCTAGTCCCACTACATTGCATGCTCACATGATGCCATTTTTGCTTTCCCTTGCTCTTCACCCTCGGCGCGCAGCGCAGCGAGGGTTACTGTAGCTAGTTGTCTTGCGTGTCTGTCTGTCGGCACCCAACTCCCTTCACGAGCCATGGGATCGCCTCCACGTATTCAGCGGCGAATAAATGTGGGGTTTTTCCATGAAACTGCTGCGTTCGGAAGTTACGGCGTGAAAACCAAGTGAACGAGCCAATATGCAAATTAGCACGGGAGATGCGCGCTCTCTAGCACCGATTGATGCGCTTGCTCTGCGTAATTTGGAGGCACCAGAGGTTGCAATGTGGGGCGTGTATCGACTCTCGCATGTTATCTAGTAGTGTAGCTAGCCCGTTACTGACTCTCAGCAACCTGGTTAGTAGGAGACGACCAGTAGGTAATTGGCCCAGCCCGGCCCATCAATTACCAGTACAACACATGCGCGTACTTCTGCGCGTGCGCGTTTCGTGCCACAATCTGTTTGTGCATGCGCAAGATATATAGCTATAGCCGCCTATTGTTGAGAGGCGCAAAGATGTGCCTCACTTGGTAGCATGCTTCCACCTCGTCTGCAGCCTTTCACAGAAGACTGTGTATATAGGCAGTCTTCCTCAACTTGCTTTGACATGGAAACGAGCATGCGCGTCTCCGCGAGGGTTTGCACTTTAGTGCTTTTCATTCTTTTTGCAGCTTTCTGCCACACAGTTGTATCACCAGACTGTGAGATGTGTGGGAGTCGTGAGAGGTGTGGATTGTTACGACAGCTGATAGAACCCCCTCTGCAACTGTCTACTACTCTGACTGTTTACGACTATGGAGATTGCTGCTCTGACCTATCCATTTAGACAATGCTCTAGTAGGTGTAAAATTGTTGTCGCATAAGTTTTATTTTTAGCCCAGCTCACACAAGGATCAAATGCAACTGACAAGGCTAGTTGGCGAGCAAGCGAGCCTACCTAGTCTAAGTGATGGGCGAGTCGGGCACTCTGCACGTACCGTGATGTGTTCTGTGAAATCCTAATTTTTGAACTGCTTGCGCTCGCTCACAAAAATACTTGGCATTCTTTCTACGTGTTGTGGGTTTTAATATAAGAGAAGATCAATTCTTACCCATATGCTTGCATTATGCCCCCCTCCCCAAATATCCAACTGTGTAGTTCCAGAGTGTGATGATGGTGCGGTTCGTCTGGTTGGTGGAGTGACCAACTCCACTGGGAACTGGAGTTGTGTGCCATGGATTGTGGGCAGAGTCTGCAACAGATTCCAGTATTGGGGTCCAGACAACGCCAGAGTTGTGTGTCGTCAGTTGGGTTTCCTACTGAAGGTAAGCAAGTTGATTCATCGTGGGTGTGACAATTAAAGCAAACTTCTCGTAAAAAAGATGCGCGTGTTGTGGAAGGTGGAACTTGCCCGTATGTTGGGGTAGTGAGAGAGCTCCTCTCCTGGGAGAGGTCCACTGCATTGGATGGAAACAGAGCTGTTGGAATGCTCTCACACAAGATCGGACGGCATTTATGTGGCGTTACAGTTGTTCCTCCATTCGTCAGAATCATCATTCACTTGCTCCGGTATGACTGAGGTACAGTACTGGTACACTGCTATTGTGTTGTGTGTTGCTTATTGAGCTCTTTTGGAATAGGTGTAGGTACTCTATGCATAGGGACAACATAGTCAATGTACCTAGGCAATTGTACACTTACCACGAAGCATTATGCCGTGCACTCCCTATAAGAGCTTCTACTAACAATGTACGATGCTAGCAGTAAAAAGTATGTGATTCCGTGCTGAACATGCACCACTCTAGAGTATTTGCCAGCCACCTGTGTCAACGGAATGGTGCAATATAAACATTGAACCTGTGATCTGCTCCACCTGATATACTGGTATCTCCTGCGATGAAGGTAATCATCAGACAGACACTGAGCAGCACATGATCTACTAGCTCTACTCTTATTACGTCCCCTCAGATGTACGGGAGTGTGAAGCAGACAATGGAGGTTGTGATCACATCTGCACTGACTTTCCTGGTGGCTACAACTGTTCATGCAAAGCTGGGTACAATCCAGATGGAACCTCTTGCAGAGGTATCATACATGCTAAGTGTCCCAAAATTTCCGGAAGGGTTCGTCCCACAGTCCCGGAAAGACCACAAATTATCCCACATCTATTCACTTTCGTGTGGTCCACTTACACTCTGAATTGATTACTTTTAAAAGGTGGAGTAATCCCATGAATGCATTATGTCGTGCAAGTTGTATAGAAATCCTGTTTGCTTGTCCTGCATGTATGGAGATTGGAGTTGCAAGTATGAGGTATGCTAAAAGCTATGCTGCTGTTTCACACATTGTGTTTGTGGATGCAGACGTTGATGAGTGTGGGGATGGGGGCCATAACTGCAGTCAGATCTGTGTCAACACTCCTGGATCATACTACTGCAACTGTCAGCGTGGCTTTCAGCTAGTCAATGGCACAGAGTGTGAAGGTGTGTGTGTGTGTGTTTGTGTGGTGATCGAGAGAAAGGGAGGGAAAAGGGGATAATGGAAGTGACTAAACACAATAGACCAGATGCTAGGAGACTTTGTCCACTTCACTACACCCGACAGCTCAGTGGTCAAATTACATGTATTTTTAGATGGACCAGGGTACCACTTCTGCTTCAGTATTTTTGCGCTGTGCAAAAAAAAAAAAAAAAAAAGCCGAAGAAATGTCAAAACCAAAAAAACAAGACACAACGAAAAACAAATGCAGGCCCTAACCTATCACAATTGACATCGTACTTACACAGTCCTCAACCCATACAAACCAGAGGCAGGACAAGGACGCCCCTAGCTTTGAGAACTAAGGGTGGGTGGGGGTCATAGGGGAGAGATGGGCTAGCCAACCTCCCCTTATGGGGAAGTGGGTTTTGTTTACTTCCAGGGTCCTGTGTTTGCGTTTATTCTAGTGACAAAACAAACACCGTCACACTTCCAATGTAAAAAATGGGGTGTGGGCATCTATCTTCTTACACCACAACCGCTGGAGTAAACCATAATTTGTGGGCAGCTGAGGCATGCCACGTAGTTTACTACATATTACAGGATTGCAAAAAGGGAATTTTTTACTCTGATGTGTGTGTTGTGTGTGTATGGTGTGTGATAACATGTCCATACGTTTTAAAACCCATGCAGATGTGGACGAATGTGAAGCGCTTTCTCCAATGGATTCTGCGTCAAGTGTGTGTTAACACTGAGGGATCTTCCACGTAACTGTACGGACGGATACCACTCTTTCGGTCATTCTTATGCAAGGTCTATATTATTGCACTTTCTAAATAAACAGTCGTCAATACGAACATGTCATCAGATATTGATGAGTGCAGTGAAGGATCGATACATGCAATAGAAGGGGACCCACACCGGCTCGCTGTATCAACACTGAAGGAGCTACAGGTGGATACATGTGAAGAGTACGTTGGGTACCGTTTGTCTACCAGTGGTACCACTTGTGAAGGTATGTGTGTACTCTTTGAAAACATTAATTTATTGACAATGTGATTAAGTCTATGCTAAACCACCAAGCAAAGCAGAAGTTAGTTTTGCTTGTAAATGTTTCAGATGTGGATGAATGTGCTGAAGACCCATCACTCTGTACAGAGACCTGTATGAACACACCTGGTTCCTACAGCTGCACTTGCCCTGAAGGATATGAACTTGATGTGGATCAGATATCCTGCAGAGGTTAGTTGAGTTAATAAAAAATACTTGGCGATGAAAAGTTTTTCTGAACAGATATTGATGAGTGTATAAACATGAATGGTGGCTGTCAGAGCTCCTGTACCAACACACCTGGCAGCTTCAGATGTAGCTGTGACCAGGGATATAGACTGTTGGATGATGGATTACAGTGTGAAAGTGAGTAAATACGTTTTGAATATGTCATTTCAACTAACTCTTACAGCCCTCAGTTGTGATCCAGTTCTTGAAGCTCCACTGAATGGTGTGTATGGAGTGTGACAGACAGACAGTGGGTGGACTTGCAGTTCACCTGTGACGAGGGCTACACTCTGAGAGCTCAGACAGTCGGACCTGTCTCCCCTCCCTCCAGTGGAGGGAACCTCCTGCCATATGTGACCCTCCAATGTGCCCTCACCTCACTCCTCCTGACAATGGATTTGTGTTGTTCCCATGTACCAGAGAGGAGGGCCATCTGTGTCATGTTGTGTGTGCCCATGGCTACAGCTTAGTGGGTCCTAGCAATCAGACATGTAGAAAGGATAACATGGGCAGTCTTACATGGAGTGATGGACCACAGTGTGTGGGTGAGTTTGCTTTGCTACATACTGCAGTAGAGGAGTCCTGTCTGCTTTGAGCAAGTCTATAAACAATGAATTATTAACCTTCGGCGCGGCATGCATAGGAGGGTTACAGTAGTCGTTCTGTTTTTCGTCTGTCTGTCGACTCTTATTCTGGAACTGCACGTTACAGGCGGCCCATGAGCGATAACACGGCTTCAGAACGGAAATTGTAAAATGGCGATTTTCTGAAACGACTGCGATATGGCGTGAAAACAAGTCGGCTAAAGCTAAATTTTAATGCTGACTAAGTGTCCGAGAGATGCGGACTTTCTCTAGCGCTTCCTCCAGCCCCGCCTACGCGCACGCGTAAGCATCGCAGTGTTATTCGCATGCTATCTACTACTCCAGAGTAGCCATCTCCGCGACTGGTACTAAGCGGTTAGGGAGACACGAGTACAATCCATCAATTATAGCAGTCTGGCGCATGCGCACTTCGCTGAGGGTTTGCACTTTAGTGCTTCTCATTTCTTTGGTTTCATTGTCTTTGCGAACATAAAACACTTGTTTTTCATTCCACAAATGCAGTTGCACCCACTATTGAAGTTACCCCTGCTGATAGAGAAGTTATATCTCCAATAACAGCTATGTTTTATTGCGAGGTGTTTGGTGTGTTCCTTTCAAATATCACGTGGCAGATGAATGGGAATGTCCTAGAGTCAGGGGGAGATATAGACATTGAAATAGACACAAGAGGCAATCTGAGAAACAGCACATTAACTATTCAAAACACGGTACCAAGTGATGCCGGAAACTACACGTGTCTGGCTGAAAATGATGCTGGAAGGGCTTCTGCATCAGCTCAGCTGACCGTAAACTGTATGTCAATTTCTTAATGCAACTCTTTATTGGCATTGAAAGTGTCTTTTGTTGTGCAGTTCCTCCAGCTATAATGGACCCACTATTGGACTCAAACGTCACAGTAAATGAAGGGATGACTGCAGTGTTTTCATGCGCTGCCACCGGCATACCTGCTCCACGTTAACCTGGAGAAGGAGCGGATTCTCAAACTTCTCTGTAGACCCGCGGGTATCACTGGGAGTGCCAACCTCTCCAGAGCCGCTGTCCACACCAGATGGTACCGTCTATTTCGTCAGCCGTCAGCTAAATCTCTCAGACACGCGAGACTCTGACTCTGGAACATACTATTGTGAAGCTTCCAGTGGCGAGGAACAGAGCCTCAATGTGGAAGTCTCTTTTCAATTGATTATTAGAGGTATGTATCCTTTTATTACATAATGTATATATTCTTCGCAGTATCAACCAATCCGCGCAAGTGAACGAGACAGTTATTATCTTCCCACACAGTTGCACCAGTTATAACAGCAGCTCCTGTGGACATGGCAGATCTTCAAGGGAGCACCGTAGTGTTATCATGTAATGCCACAGGGAGACCACGACCTGACATAACATGGTGGGGAGAAGACGACAGCAGTGGGAACTTGACTCAAATTACTGATGTGACGGGGAAGACCCTAATTGATTCAGAGGTGATTGGTGGAGAAAGGGGATGGACAAGTAACCTGGCAGTAACGGACATTCGACCTTCTGATGCCGGTGTGTATATGTGTCGAGCTGACAATGATGCTGGACAAGCAGAAGCACTCTCAACACTCACCGTGCTCGGTGAGTTATCTCTCTTATTATTATGTGTCGATGTAACTACTATTTCAATACAGTTGTTCCTGAGATTGTTTTCCCACCTGAGGATTATGAGTATACGACCATTCAGTTTATGGAAACTGTGTTTGAATGCAATGCCACTGGGATCCCAGCTCCAACCATTCAGTTCTTCCTCGATGGCTCTCTTCTGGAGTCAAATGAAACCTTTTCCATCCTGGATCCCGTGAACGAGGTCATTGACGTCAGTGGTGAAGGCGACCTGGTGCATTTGGTGACCAGAAGACTCATCGTCAGTCCCACACTTGATGGGGACTCCAACAACTACACTTGTGTGGCCACCAAAGATAACGGAACTGATTCAGTAGAGTTTGAATTGATTGTGTTTGGTAAGCCACACTATAGTTTCTCAAACTTACCATCTATTTACCCTTTATCGATTAACAGTTGCTCCTGTAATAGTGGGTAGGCCAGACTCCCAGATAGTTTTGAAGGATGATCGGGTTGTACTGTCATGTGTGTCTGAGGGGAGACCTCCTCCAGCCATCACATGGTTGAAGCAGTTGGTTCAAGTAGAGGAGAGTGATAGAGTCAGCATTGATATCGTGTTGCGAGGGACACGTCAGGTTGCGAGCAATCTCACAATTGAGCCTGTGCAACCTCGTGACAGTGGGCAGTTCACATGCATGGCCTCCAACGTGGCGGGAAATGATTCACAGTCAGCTGATCTTACGATGCACGGTAGGTGTATTGGTAGATATTTCCAACTTTTGTTCACTCAACGTGCTTTTATCAGTTTTTTCTGAAGTCCAGTTCTTGGTTCCCTCGCCATTGCTCACTGTGAACCAGTCAGATTCAGCTACATTCATGTGCAATACCACTGGTGTCCCAGCCCCTGTCATTAACTGGTTCGTGGGAGACCAGAGGCTAAGTGATGTCCTCCTCTCACGAGTTAACATCACAGAGACTGAGGCTCGTGAATACCCCACACCTAATGGTGACGTGTTGCAGTAACAAGTGTTCTAACTATCGAACCAATCATGGGCAATGACTCTGGTACATACACATGTAATGCATCGAACACAGTTGGTGCCTCAATGATGCCAGCTAGTGATGAAGAAAGCACTGAATTATATGTCCAAGGTAGAGCCACCTTACTCCAACTAATCTATTAACAGATGTTTTCTTCTTTAGTTCCCCCAGTTGTTGTCGCTATTGTGGAAGAAGTGATTGGAAATGAAAATGAAAGTTCAACACTTCAGTTCAGGATTGACAATGCTGAACCTGTGGTCGAGCTGAGTGGACTGAGGTGGTTTTATTCTGCCGAGTTATCTCAATCAGCCACCATGGAGGATATTACTAATAGCACCAACAGAGGATCCCAACTCATCACCTCATTCAGTAGCGATGGAAGGTTCTTCAACCTAACAATTGTCAACATCCAACAGCATCGCCAGGAGGGAGAGGAGACAGACCAAGGACGATACTTCCTGCAGGCCACCAACCCTGCCGGAACAAGCTTGGCATATGTGGACTTTGATGCCAATGATGTGTATGGTAAGCCAGCCAGTGTATTTTTAAGAACAGTTAACTGAACCACTCTTGCTTTCAAAGCAGTCACCAACTATACGTTTTTAACCTCTCAGAGCTACCAGAAGTCAGTATTGATGGGGTTGACCCTGCTGTTACTGGAGATAATGTCATGCTCACCTGTACTGCTACTGGAGACACTCCACTGGTCTACCACTGGACCATGGAGGGCAGTACAACTGTCCTTAACTCTGACAACACCACTGGAACTTTGGAACTGGCAGATATTCAAGAGAATCAGTTTAGGGACGTATGTATGTACAGTGACCAATGATCTGGGGATGGCTACAAGTGAAGTGATTCTCGAACAAGCAGGTATTCTGCTAACCAATTCTCCCTGCTAATGCTGTGGCAATAGACTCTACTAGCCTAGCGGAGCCTTTGCTAGCTATAGTGTGCCTAAGTAGAACTGTGCTATGTGACACTGCCTCTACTTCACAGTGGCTCCAACTGCTGGCAATAACGTCAACACTCACATTCAGTGTTGGAGATGATCTAGTTTTGATGGCAGTGTTTTCAGACTTCAATCTGGAGCTGGATAGTATAGTATGGACACAGAATTCCTCCATATATCTGATGGATGGAGTCACCATATCAAACACTGCTCTGAGTCCACCAAGTGCTAGCTCCACACTGACTAGACCTGGCATCACTGGTGTCTCCTATGGAGGAACATACATTGCCACTGCCAGCAACCGGGCTGGATCTAGTTCAACTACGTTCACTGTCCATATTATTATTATGCTGGTACAATTTCAACTTCGACTTGTGGGTTTGTCTGACTGCTTGCAATGGAGAGTAAGCTATAATACTGTATTTATAGCTATATCCAAAATGTCTCTTTTTCAACCCAGGAGATACAACCAAATGAAAAGAAGGAAGCAGTAATCACAGGTGTAACAAGAGCAGTGAATGAGCTCTGTCAGTGTGGCTTTTCCCGTGACTCATTCAATGAAATTGAGGTCACAGCTGGTTTTCAGTGTTTTGAGGCTTCTCCCACTGCAGTTACCTTTCGTGCTGAGATAATGGATATCGCAAAAGCAAACATCTCGCAGCTGATAGGCTACATGGAGCAGTGGGTGACCTCTCAGCCTACTATTGTGGTCCTCGGTTCAAGACTAAGTATTGATAGCGACTGTGAGATTGAGATTGACAGCTTCAGTGAGCCTGAGTGTTTGGATGCAGATCGTGAGACTCCTCCAGAGAGAGTTGATGGTAACAGGATTGGGTACATTATTGGAGGAATCTTAGGTGGCGGTCTTTTGGTTTTATTACTATTGGTAGTTGTACTTTTTTTAAGGAACCACAGAAAAGCATCTTACAAAGTTGAAACTGACTCTGTCTACGAGTAAGTTGTATCAATTTTTCTCTATAACGTTCACAAGTTCTTATTTTAGGACTATACCTGACTCTCCTCCGATTGTTGCAATGGAATTGACCAATATTTCTGCATCCCGACATCTGCCTGGCAGCCAAATCAGCCCTACGTCCATTCCGACAGGGGAGAATCCATCTTATGCTATTCACATTGGTACACTGGATAATCCAGCCTACATTAGACAGAGGGGCACCGTGGATGGTCCAACCTATGTTAATGTACAATCCAAGAAACATTAACACAGGTGCACAGCCACCTACAGCTATAACAATACAGCCACAGAACCACTGTAAACACTTTAATGATAACACTGAGGCATGCTTCTCAGCTGCAGTCAAAATATACAAGTGGAAAATCATTTCTTCAAAATGAAGGGGATATGGGGATGGCTTGAAGCACCAAAAAGGAAGAAACAAGGGTCATTACACAGCAAAGATGCACAAAGCCACATGACACCATCCCTACCATATCTTTGTCTCTATTAAACTTTGCCTATGAACAATAAACAAAGATATAGGGATGGTGTCATGTGTTTGTGCATGTTTGCTGTTAGCCCTTGTTAACCCTCGGCGCGCATGCGCAGCGAGGGTTACTGTAGTTGGGTCTGTCTGTACTGTGTGTCTGTTACTCCACATCTCACTGCTCGAGTGTTTGTTCGTCTGCACAAACGATACGACCTACTTAATTAACGGGCAATGAAGGTCAGAAGTTATGAGCGGTTTTCTCTGAAAATGCTCCGTTGCAAAGCTTTTTAGGCGCAGACTGCCAAGTTGCTCCTTGTGCAAATCAACAGCAAAAAGCAAACTAGCCAATTAGAAATGCGTATACTGACTTACAGAAGGCACTGGAGGATGAGAGTTCCTCTACAGGCATCCTGGCTTAGTCTCGTGAACCAGCGAGACTACTGAGTAATGCGCGCACACCGCACCCTAGCTCGGTGCATGCGGCTCACTAATGCTGGGTTAGCAGCAAATGGCGTTGTTCAGTGACTACCGTGGAAGAGCCCAACGATCTGCCGTAGTGACTTGCGGCAAGAAAGAAACGATCGCTTGATATTCGTGCACACCTCCGGCGAATTGGGAGACGTTCTGTGAAAAAATCAACGCTCAACATGCTTCCGGTAGCTGCAGGTTTCACAACAGAGTTGATTATGTTTGTTTATCAGATTTCTGCTCTTTTTGTTGCTGGAAACCTCGCTGAGGCTGCCTTGACTTCACACACACCCACCAAAACCCACCGTGGTAGATTATGGTAGATTCATACGAACTGTGTACAAAACACAGAGCGTCAGTAGACCCTCCATGTATGTGTATAGGGATGACACAGATGAAATCTCACGTGACCCATGTACTTACAAACTAGCTCACGAGTTACAGGGCCTTCCAAGGCATTCCATCTTTGTCTCTTCCAATGCTAAATTATATTTTCACTGCCACATTCATAACAACTACATGCTGATCAAAATCTAAATCGACACAATACAAACCTCAAAAATGCATGCACAAATTACACAGTCCTTTTATTAAAACTACATAGCTACAATGATCAGCACAACTGTCAGCAATCACTCAATGATGAAGTCAGTTTTCAGGTTCCTTCTGTTCCTGCCACAGCTGCTGCTGCTGTCTGTCTCCTCAGCCTTGTCTGTGGCAACGTGCCACGCTTGGACTCCCCAATGAATGCTGTGTCTATTATGCCATCAGCCATTCTTTCAAGGTTGACTGCTTCTGGTTGTCTTGAAATGTACAGGTATGATTCTCGGTACTCAGTTCCACTGTTGTCTATCAGATTCTGAAACACCACATTGAAGGCCAAGGATGTTGGACTGTTTGTCAGTTTTGTATTGAATGTGACATGATTGATGCTAAAGACATTCTGATATCCACTGCCATGGCCAATTCCAAAGAGTCTCAGCAGAGGTTCAGCACTTTCCAGTGTTCTTTCATAAACTGTCAGAGAATTATTGTGTGCATCTCGAAGTTTCTCTAACATCACAACCAGCTGTCGCGCCCTATTCTCATATATGCTGTGCTCATCTCCTGCCCTATTCTGTGCAGCTTTGGCCAAAGACAGGTTCCTCTGAGCTTCAAGAAACTCCTGAAACACGTCTCTCCTGTTCTGTAAACTGTCTACAGCACTCTGGTGCTGCATGGCTCCACACATTTCATTCCTTGCAATACACGAGGGATCTGGTGCTCTCACAGCACACGTCACATTCTCACAACATGTGCTTTCGACTAAAGAGTTAAAGACTCTGACAATGCAATTGTTGACGGTCTTTCGTAGGAAGTAAGGTTTGGAGCAGTGCCTGCACACTACTCCAGGCATACAAACATCTATACAAATCTCTTCAGTGCACAATTTGTCACTGTCCTGTAGCAGATCTTGACTGTCATTCAACTGCTGCTCTACCTCTCGATAGCTCATTGTGGCTATTCTACTAGCAGCATCTCTCTTTTGCTCAGCCACGGACAAATTTGCAACTGTCTGGTTGTATCGTTCCTCAATAGCAAGAAGCCTCTCTTCTGACTGATTAAGAGACATCTGAGCTACTTCTCGTCGTGAATTTGCCGATTCGGCCAGCATTCTCAGCTTCCTTGTAACCACTTCACTCAGGCTCTCTATAAAGCTGCCACTGCCTGAGAGTAGAGAACTGTCCACAGTAAATTCCAGATCCTGCCAGTCAGTCTTGTTGGAAGGTGCAGTGATGGTCAGCTCAGCTGGATAGCCAAACACACTGCCACTACTGGTGGAGATTGTGAGCTGATCATTCCTGACGGTGGCCTCTGACTCAAACACTCCTCCAAACAGAGTCACCTGTACTGAATGAAACTGAGAGACTGGTCCGGAATCCTCTCTTCCAAAGACAGTCACTACATCAGGACCTGTAGAGTTGGCCTGAAGTTCAAAGATGTTCCCAAGAGGCAAGCAATTGTTGACCAACTCAGATTCAATTACAAGAGCTGGGTCAGGAACTTCAAGGAAGTTACTAGTGAAGCAGTTAGGATTCTCTGATCCAATGAAGGTGATGGTGTGGGACATTTCAGGCAAGATAAGGTGTCCAATAGCAAGAAGAGGACACTCCGTGTGTAGACTGAGACCAAGTGCTCTGTAGTCGCTGGTTATTGGCAAGAAGGCACTGAAGCTACAGCTCTGAGTGATTTCAGTGAACCGAAGAAGTCGCGTGAAGAACAGCTCACCAGGTTGTGGCTGGTAACTTGCTGTGAATGATAATCCGTTCCGCTGTTACACGGATTCCCACCATCTACAAAAACATAAATATAAAAGAAGAATACAATAAAACACAAAACCTCGCCTTCGATGTGAAAATAGGCATTTGTGATTCTGTCGTAGCTGCCGAGTTGGAAGCTCAGCTCAGTGCCATCAATCATGCTACTAGCTACCAAAGTAATCTGGCCTTCCAGTGTTCCTTGTCTTTCCTGTCAGTAGCAAAAGCTAATACATTAATTGACTCATGTAGATATAGGTGCTTACTCGTATTAAATGAAGCTTCTCCACTGAATTCCACCCTGAATTGAGGCCACCCTCGTTAAATTGAAGCTCAAGACTCTGTGTTCACCGAAATATTCTACTTTTAATCTGGCAGTGACACTCATCTCCACGCCATTCCAAACATGCATCACTACTTTGAGTAACAGGACTGTTTGAAGACTGACACAGTATTGAGGAGAATGTTCCACTGTCTGTCAGTGAACCCGGAGATACTGGTAGAACTAGAATGTCATTGATTGGCTGGGAGATCTGCATGTGAACTGGAGACTCTGATTCATGACACAAGTCAACTGCAAAACACATGACATCTCCAGTGGTCCCAGTCTCATTGTCCTCTCTGTAGTCATATCTCTGGCCATCAATCACTGCTGATAGAGTTTTGTCATATCTCAACACTGAATACCTACTACCTTCCAGGTTAGTGAGTTTGTCACAACCTTCAAGTGATGAGACTGGCTCACTGGGTCGAGTGACTGGTGCAAACAATCGTTTTTATTTGATGTAATCGACTCTAATGACAGACCTAAATCTACAAACAGTTCCAACCAAGGTGGAAGTAATGTCTGGATTTGATTGATGTAAGTGAAGGCCAAGGCTCTAGCTTGGAGAAATTCCACAGTGTCATCTGGTGTGTGATCATAACAGGAGCAATGGCTATTGGTACTGCTGCATTCATGGCAAGCTACACAGTCACCAATTTCTAGCCTTATGTTATTGGTGTAACGTCCAGAAACATCTCTGTATCTGAAGCTGGAAAGAGAAGTTGGTAGAGATAGGTTACTACTCTGAACAAACACGACACCAGCATCTGTTCTTGTAACACCACCAGGTGTGGTAGTCCACTGACATGGTGATAGCAGTGATATTGTCTGAGTGGAGTCTCCAGGACAGGATAGTGTGACATGATCATCTGCACTGCAACAACTTGGCTGCAACAGTCCTCTTGTGAGATTGAACTGTTCAAAATGCGATGGTCTCTCGCTATCTGATCCGCCAGTTACAAATACGGCTCTCTCCCTTGGGAGGTAGATGACGCTGTCGGCATTCGATGGCAGACTACAGTTGAGTATCCTATTCTACCTCTGACTATTGTCGGAGTTCGTCTCCTCGGTTTACATCTACTATTGCCGCAATGCAACTGGTTGGGTAGGAAATTTTATAGCAACTCTTTTTCTATCTTCAAATCCATCAGGGAGTTCATTAACATTGGTGTACAGCACGATCGGAATAAATACTCCATCAGTCACTGGTGGGATTGGTGGGAAGTATACAATTACTGCTCCACAAGTCTGTCCACCATAACCAGTTGCAGTTCCATTGCATACACATCTAAACTCAGTGCCAGCTCGATACAAGAACTACCATTCAGACAAGGATTGTGTCACATAGACGACTCTCTGAATAGAAACATTATAAGTACTTCCATTATAGCTTGGTGTATTTCCCTAGTTGTGGACACTTTCACACACAGGCCACTTTTGTTAAGGGAGCATGACACTAATGCCAGAATAAGCGCCGACACACACACAGACCAGGTACCTTATAGCTAACCCTCGCTGCACATGCGCACCGAGGGTTAAAAATTGCAGAGCAGACTCACCCACACACTGTGGTCCATCACTCCACACAAGATTACTTGTGTTATCCTTTCTACATGTCTGATTGCTAGGACCCTCTAAGCTGTAGCCATGGGCACACACATCATGAACACAGATGGCCCTCCTCTCTGGTACATGGAACAACACCAAATCCATTGTCAGGAGGTGTGAGGTGAGGGCACATTGGAGGGTCACATATGGCAGGAGGTTCCCTCCACTGGAGGGAGGGGAGACAGGTCCGACTGTCTGAGCCTCTCAGAGTGTAGCCCTCATCCGCAGCGTGAACCTGCAAGTCCACCCACTGTCTGTCTCTGCCACACATTCCATCACACCATTGCCGTGAGCTCAGCACGGGATCACACCGAGAGCTGTGGATGCTTTGCCATGTCAGAAACTGTGTCTTTTCATGATGACTGCCTTCGTTGTGACGCTGTTTGTGCCTTCAAGACACACAGAGCGATACGGACGCGGTCGAAGTAAGCCTGTGCTAATCATCTAACTATGGCTTGTGCTTTGCGAGCATTGCATCTTTTCATCGCCATTACTTCTAGAACACAGTAGTTTATTACGATAAATCGTGGTTTAACTCTTTGACTTTTTGCATCTCTCTAAAATCAACCCACGCGCTCAGATTAGCACTCTAAATCTCCCCGCACTCTTCGCTTTATCGCGCTATTTGCTACCTGATTTCTTTTCGTAGCGACACGTGGCAAGAAGATAACGTCGGTAACATTGACAGACAGATCAGACTACACTTACGGGACCACTACGTTAGACCCAACCTCCATCGTCTAGCGCAACTGCGCGCGAGGGTTACCTACATGCTGTCATCAAAGCCGACGCACTGAGTCGTCAAACGGCGAACTGCGCGTACTTTTCGGGCTCCCGTAGCTCTGTATACATCGCTAGTATTGCGCGCGAACATGCGCATGCCGGCGATCGCGATACATGCCAATTGATGGCCCCTACAGCTGTGAGTGCGTGAGTATCAGCTCGTCTGCTGTACTTCCTGCGAGCCAGCCCCAGGTACCAGAGCGAAGCGGAGTCAGGTCGCGGTATAGCGCAGTGCGATTGTGGCTTTCTTCAGGGCATATCTCTCGACGAAGTCGTGTCTAGGGCAATCCGCTAACCTATTTTTCGGGCTCCCGTAGCTCTCTGTGAATCTTTTCGCTTGTATCGCTAATGCGGCCGCCTCGTTCAGCCCGGTCTAGTGCCAGAATAAGCGCGACACACAGACATACAACTAGTATATAAATATAGAAACTTGTTTTTCACATACGGCGCATTACCTGCATTCATATGCAAACAGACAATACAGTTATACTAGGTGTATGTGCGTGCCTAC